CACACACACAGACACGCGCTCGCACTCACACGCACACGCACACACACACACGCGCACACACACGCACACGCACACACACACACACACACGCGCACACACACACACACACACTCACACACACACACACACACACACACGCTCGCTCGCTCACTCACACTCATAAACACATACTCTCTCACACACACTTCCACAACAACTCAAACACTCCCATGCTCACACACACTCATATAGCTCACAATCCCACATGTCTGTTTGTGTGTGTGCGTGTGTGTGTAAGTGTGTGAGCATAGGATTGTAAGTGTGTGTGTGTGAGGGTGAGAGTGTTTGTGTGTGTGGTAATGTCGTGTGTGTATGTAAGTGTATTTCAGTGTGTGAGCATGGCTGTGTGTGTGAGCATAGGAGAGTGTATCAGCATAGCTGTGTGTTTAAGTGTGTGAGCATAGAGTGTGTGAGCGTGGCTGTGTGTGTGAGCATAGAAGAGTGTGTGAGCGTGGCTGTGTGTGTGTGTGTGTGTGAGCATGGTAGTGTGTGTGAGTATAGGAGTCTGTAGGTGTGTGTGTGTGTGAGTGTGGTAGTGTGTTTGTGTAAGTGCATTCAAGTGTGTGTGACAGCGTGGCTGTGTATGTGAGTGTAAAAGTGTGTGAGCATGGAAGTGTGTAAGTGTATTTAAGAGTGTGTGAGCGTGGCAGTGTGTGTGAGTTTGTAAGTGTGTGAGCATGATAGTGTGTGTGAACATAGGAGTGTGTGTAAGTGTGTGAGTGTGCTAGTGTGTGTATGTAAGTATTTTTGAGTGTGTGAGTGTGGCTGTCAGTGTGTAAGTGTGTGAGCATAGGAGTGTGTGTGTGTGTGTGTGCGTTTGTTAGTGTGCTAGTGTGTGTATGTAAGTGTATTGGAGTGTGTGTGAGCGTGGCTGTGTGTGTGTGTGTGTGAGCATGGTAGTGTAAGCATAGGAGTGTGTGTAAGTGTGTGTGTGAGTGTGTGTGTGTATGAGCGTGGGATTTTGTGAGTTTGTGTGAGCATGGTTTTTTATGTGAGTGTGTGAGCGTGGAAGTGTGTGTAAGTGTCTGTGTGTGAGCGTGGGATTGCGTGGGAGTGTGTGTAAGTGTGTGAGTGTGTGTAAGGGTTGGTGTGTTTGTGAAGGTGGTAATGTGTATGTACAGAAAGTGTTTTCGACTGTGTGTGTGTGTGAGCATGGCTGTGTGTGTGTGTGTGTGTGTGCATATGTAAGTGTATTCGAGTGTGTGTGTGTGAGCATGGCTGTGTGTGTGTGTTTGTGTGAGTGTGTGTGAGGATGGGTGTGTGTGAGAGTGTGTTAGTGTGTGTATGTAAGTGTATTCGAGTGTGTGTTTGTGTGTGTGTGTGTGGGGGGTGAGCGTGGGAGTGTGTGTAAGTTTGTGTTTGAGGGTAGGAGATTGTGTGAGCGTGGGAGTGTGTGTGAGCATGGGTATGTGTGTGGGAGTTTGTGTGAGAAAATGTGTGTGTGTATGCGAGCGTGGGAGTTTGTGTGAGCGTGGGAGTATGTGTAAGTGTGTGTGTGAGGGTGGGTGTGTTTGTGTGTGTGTATGTAAATTTATTTGAGTGAGTGTGTGAGCATGGCAGTGTGTGTGTGTAAGAGTGAGCTAGTGTGAGACTGTATGTAAGTGTGTGTGAGAGAATGTGTGTGTGTGTGTGAGAGAGCTCCTTTATGTGGTGAATCATGGCGTCTGGGGTCTGTCAGGTGAATCAGGCAAACGCTGCAGGGTTTCAGGTGTCCGACACAGAATACAGTGTCATTGTGTGTGTGTGTGTGTGTGTGTGTGTGTGTGTTCAGGGATCTGTTTCTGCACTGTATGAGACGCTGATCAGCCTGACAGAGGAAACACACACACTTTCACTCAGACAATCACATGGTGAAGGGCGGCACGGTGGCTCAGTGGTGTCGCATTGTGGCCTCACAGCAAGAAGGTCGCTGGTTCAAGTCCTGGCTGGTGTTTCTGTGTGGAGTTTGCATGTTCTCCCTGTGTTGGTGTGGGTTTCCTCCGGGTGCTCCAGTTTCCCCCACAGTCCAAACACATGCGCTATAGGGGAACTGATCAACTACACTGGCC